GGTCTTTTCAAACTTGATTTAAGGGGCTTAGGTGGCTGTTAATTTAAGGAGTGGGGAACACGTTTCACATGCAGGGAAGGTGTACATTTAATGAAAGATCTATGAAATTTTGTCAAGATTTTGGGCTTTTAAATCATGCTTCAGCTTCCTAATGTGGATATGTATCACGGCTGGAGCAACATTTAGCAATTTGAGGAAATGGGTGAGTGGGGTACATGTGTGAATTAAAAATAAGCACACCTTGATCACGCCATGCAGAAACCGAATGAGAATTGAGGTCCCTTGGTTACGTTATGCACTCACACATGGATGGAAATACATTTTGAGGTTAGTTCCATGACGTGGGTTAATAACTTAAGAGCTTTAAAATCATGACTGCTCAAATCAATTGGGATCCTTCCAAAGCAACAACTTATCCTCTACTCATAATAATCTATAATCACTTACCATACTATAGGCTCTATGAAAGGATGAAATCAGATTGCACACTAAATTAGACGCATCCATGCAAGATCATTATCGAATTTTGGAGTTCGTAAAATGAAATATTGTATAAGAAATCTCATGTGGTGCTAACATAATGGATTTTGACATATGTGGTTTCAACCACGCTTAAGGCTAAGATGATCGCCGAGAGGGAGTAACCAACATAAGGAAAAAGAAATCAAAATAAATAAAATAAAACATCTATGTGTATACGTGAAAGGAGTAAAATCTTGGGATGTTACAACACAGAAGGCAATACTTAGCAAAATAGGCATTAAAACGTGTGCTTTGCTAGTTCTGTCAAAACTCCTCTCCGCCAAACTACCATTATCATCCTTGAAGGAACCAACGTGTGTCTTATGCCCTTAAACCAGTGACTAGCATGATGCTATGAGTAAGGAATTCAATGCCTTAATTCAACAAGGTACATGGGACCTTGTACCTTAGCCTTCAAGTGTAAATCTTATAGGTTGTATATGGTTATACAGGGTCAAGCGAGAAGCTGATAGTGACATTTTTGGCCATTCTATCAAAATAAACTATCCAATCGAAGCATGCCTTGGGTCTTTCTTGGATTTTCTTCTCAACACCAATCTTATCAATGTTATCATCCACCCACTCAAAGGTTGTATCTCTCTAAACATGTTACTTTTCATGAATTAATATTTCCTTTTCATTTGCATCTTTATACCTCTAGTTAAATCCCTCTACTTAGCACTACAATATAATTGGCCACTTCGTCAACTTGGCATGAACAATGCCTTCTTGCATGGTTCTTTCAGCGAAGAGGTCTACATGCAACAACTTCTAAGCTTCATTCATCACCATGTTTGTCATCTAAGAAAGTTTATGTATGGCCTCAAGCAAACACCACGAGCTTGGTTCTAGACCTTATGTAAGTTCTATGTGACTATGGGTTTGTTAGCTCACAATGACTCCTATGTGCTCATTCTCAAATTTGGAAGCCTAGTTCTATTCGCACTTGTGTATGTCAATATTATTATTACAGGCTCCTCTAGCAAAATTGTTGAGTGCATTGTAGCACTCTCTCACACTTTCTCTATCAAAGATTTAGGGACTTTGACATATTTTCTTGGTGTTGAGATAATTTCTACTGCTATAGGTTTAGTTCTCAGTCAAAATAAATACATTGTTAACATCCTTGAGAGAACCAAGATGAATAAAGTTAAGTTTGTCCTCACCTCACTATCAACCAGCTTTCCTTGTGCAAGGATGATGGTTCTCCGAGCACTGACATCACCTTCTACAAGAGTACAATTGGCAACCTCTAGTACTTATCCATTACAAGGCTTGATATTGCCTTCTTTGTGAACAAGTTGGCTTAATTCTTACAGCACCCCATTGCCACACACCTAAGGTTTGTAGGAGAACATTGTTTCATTCCTTTTATGGAACTTCGGAAATATAGTGACATCCTTAATTTTGATTGTTAATGGATAAATTTACGAATAACAAGTAAAGTGATTCACAAACATAAGATAATATTATAAGATAATATTTGTTATCATTTATAGAAGTAACAGGAGAGGATCCCCAAACATAAGAAAAAATAAGTTCAAGAAAAGTTAAAGTTTTAATAGAGGATACAAATAAAGGGAGTTTATAACTTTTATTGATATGACAAGAATTACAATAAAATTTGTATTGTCTGAAGTCCTAAATTTGTCATAACTAGACAGCATTTGAGAGAGCACTTTTGATGAGGGATGTCCAAAACGAGCATACAAAGAGGAACGGAAGAGCAGGTGGAAGACAAGGAAGTGGGTGAAGGTGATGGAGTTGGACAGTGAGTGTAGAGATCACCGTTAACTAGATTGCACATCAACATTACCCCTGTCGCCTGATCCTTAACACACACAAAAAAATTGGGGTGAAATACAAGCTATGTTCGGTTGGCTTTGCAAAATTTGGAAACAGAGATTAAATTGCATTTGGCACATGGGGCACAAAGTACATCATGAAGGTTGAAAAAAACCGAAGAGGTAGAGAGGGTAGTAAAGCCAACTTGTGAAATTTTCAAACCTATACCATCACCTATTTGTATTTCTTCTAGACTATCATATTTAGAGTGAATGTGCATGTTGTTGAGATTGGTGGTCCCATGATGGTTTACACCAGTGTCAAACACCCAACTAGGTGCATAGATTGAGGAGCAGAACCATAATTTCCCCTTGGTGAGTTACTGCGTTGCAGACATTGAGGGAAATATTTGCGAATATGGCCAGGCAACGAACAAAGTTGGCACTCTGGTGGAGGCTGATTGCCACGGGAATTGAAGTCACAATATTTGTGGGATTAATAGCTACGGTATGCATTGTTCTGTAGTTAATTAGGGAAGTAGTTACCCCTTCTAGAAGATGGTTTTGGGAGAAGACCATCTTATTTAGAGTTGCGGTGGTTTGTGGAGGAGGGATGTTGGGAAAAAAATTGTTGTAAGGACTTGTGTGTTAATCCTGAGCAACTTCACAGTGAATATAATCATCGTGAGCAAGTAGGTGGGCGTGGCTATGAAGTTCCTCAAAAGTGAATGGGTGTTCACATGTACGAATAAAGGCAGCAATATCATGATATTCAGTACCGAGTTCAATTAGCATATAGAAAAGAATATCATCATTAGAAAGTGATTTGTCAATGACAAGAAGTTCATTAACAAGGCTTTTAATGGAAAACAAATAGTCAGTTATAGAATTTTCTTCCTTTGTGCACCGTTGAAGTTGGTTCTTGATAGACATAACGTGAGAACGAGATATATTTGCAAATTGAGATTCAATTACAACCCGTAGAGATCTAACAGTATCATATGTGGTAAAGGAAAGGTGAGATCTATCATGGACGTGAGAAGGAGATTCATGATCAATTGATCAACAATGAACCAAATAGTATATTCAGGGTTGAGGATTGATGAACCATCGGTAACAACGGTTGAGGTGCTAAATGGTGTGGTTCCATCAATGTGGCCCATGACCTGGATACTAAATAGAAGATTGGTAACCTGCCATTTCCGAGCACAGAAGAGTTATAAGTGACCATAGTTGCTAAGAGATAGGATCGATATGCTGTGAAGTTAGGGTAAATTTGATACCATGTAGAATTGAATAATAATGGCACATTTTCTATTGCTTTGGATGTGTATATATATATATATATATACATAGTAGATTACAAGATTTGGGCGTAACAACTTCAGCATGATTCTATCTCTAGTTGGAAACAACTGCAATTCAAAATAATAGCAACAAATAAGTGAAGTTGATAGCAAATAGATAATCATAAAATTCTAGATCATAGGAGATTAGTTAGCTGGTCTAACAAAAATGGTGGATGTATAGGCTTGGAAATCAACATCAAATCGGTGGAGTGGAAAAAATAGAAAATTAGTGGTGGGTGTGAAGTATGAATCAAATGGAAGGGTTTAGAAGAATTTAACACGTACGTATGGGAATGCAGAGTTTGGGATAACGGTGAGGAAGAGAGTGATGGTTGTGGTTGATGGCACTTCACATTCCAAGCATGCAATGATGTGGGCACTAACGGATGTTTTCTCCTCACAACCTTGTTACTCCATTTTTTTCTTTTTCTTTTTAGCTCCTCGTCCTGTGGTTCATCAACATCTCCATGATTTAATCCATACGAACTCCAAACCAAAACATGGAACATTCCTGCAGGTTCTCCAATTGAGTTTTGGAGTCGTAAGTAAAGACAATGAGTTAAGGAAGGAATGTGTTGTGTTTGGATTCCCATTTATTGTCCATCCTTGATGACATTTGGATTTTGTAGAGGAACCGGAGAAAGTGAAAGGAAAGAGCAGCTGGTCGAGGTCTTACGTCCGAGAGGCCAAAGCCATCGTGACACCACCACCAACTAACATGGAGCAGTACCCAAATCGCTACGTGTTCGGGGTGGACATGCTAGGAATCAAGGTCAGGAGATCAAGGTGCAAGTCGAGGACATGCTAAGTTGTTGATTTCATATACAGAAAAATAAATTGTAAAAAATAGCATCACTTTCAAGCCTCAAACTAAATACCAATTATATTTATTTAAGGGGTTGTATGAGAAAGAAAGTTTTGGAAGAGAGAAGATGCATTAAATTTATATTTTAAAAAAATGTATTTAAAATTAATATATTAATAATCTATTTATCATTATAAATAATATATAATTCTTTATTAAAAAATATGCTCTTCCCTCCCTTCTCTTCCAAAATTCTCCTCCCAACCATACCCTAAGGAATTGTGACCTGCTGAAAATATTAAATGCAAGTTAAATTGCAAAAGGTCCTACTCCCTTCAAACAAATTGGTCTACCAAAGTCCCAAATTAGACGTAGATATAGGGAGACTTCAGTAAAACTGCATGATAATAGATAAATAAAAATCAATTGCAATTTACAAAAGATTTAAAAATTAGACAACTTTTATAAAAAGGAATGCCAATTACACGAGATGTCACTCAACAAAGAAGAATATTGAAAATAAATCGTTAAATTAGTCGCATTTCTATTTCCATAAATAAAAGTAAAGCAAAATCTTATAATCCTCGGGTTCAACCTAACGATATATCAGTAGAAAACAATAATTCCATCCCATGAGAACATGGATTCAACAAGACGAGAGATTTATTTACTCCTGATTTTAACATTCAAACTCCAGTTAACCTTGCCCTGTGGCAAGGGGATGGACCTTGGTAAACGCAGTGGCACCTCATATTCTCCCACTGTTGATAAAGCTATTGGAAGATGCAGGTTTTCGGGTGTAATGTTCACACATAGTTGTCTTGCCACCTAAAATTAGAACATATAAAAGTCAGTACCAGAAAAAGAATGGGGAAAAGAAGAAAAGGGTATCCATTCTCCAAGGAAGAAAAGGGTATAGGTTTGGTAAACTTTTTATTATTGATCTAGAGGTAAACCTTTTTACTCATTAACTTTAAAGTAACCCAAGAAAATAATAAGACGAAATGAATCCTAATTTTCTTTAAAAGAAACCAATCTTAAAATTAAATATGATTTGCAACAGAAACACTACCACCTCAAACAAACTTCGATTCTTTCAATTTGAGAATAAGGTGATAGAAACCGGATCACAATATGAATGAAAATTGTTATTGAAGAAAACTAATTCTGATTGCCTGAATATTTGAGAGGTTCACCCCTCTCCCAAAGTCCCTATTACACTTGCGACTTCTCCACCTACCTCTCTGGTTTCCCTCCCTTATTTATATATTAATTAATAACAGATTTTATAATTTTCTTACAGATTTCCCTCTCCCCATTCATAACAGATTCTATAATTCTGTTACAGCATATTAAGACCCTTAAGGTCTGTTACCCTAATCCTATTCTTGTTACATAGACTTTAGTTATTGGAGGACGTCTATCAATCTGCCTCCTAAATTTTCTTTGTCAAGGTGAATAATTATGGAGCTGCAAAAAGCAAAGTTCTATGGGGTTTCATCAATTCAAAATTAAGCCGCAAATAAAGCTCCCAGGCTCCCTTGGGAATTTCACTGCTGCACCTGATTGCAGATCATGAGCTGTAATATGGAAAACACTTTTCTGCTTGATAACATGTGCTGCTGCTGCTTTTGGTTGCTTACAGTTTTGTGTCAGCACCTTTACATCTCTGATCTCTGCGTCTCCCAGTCAGTGTACAGAGTTCCTTTTGGCAGGGTGGTGGGCCGACCAAACTATTCTAGACCTTCATGGTTGTCATAGACGTATCCACTACCAATACAAATCGAGGTGTGATGGCTGGGATGAGCTGACTAATTCTTTCATAACCCAAAATTTTCTAACTTCTTTATAGTTATCCACCCCATATTTTCACAACCCAAAAGATGCCCTATTTGTTTCCTTTCTTCCTTATAGGATGCTCTTCTTTCTCAAAAATGAATGTATTCTCAAACCAAGATGAATCAAATAATTCTTTGTTTGTTTCAGCCTCTTTCTCCATTTCTTTGAACTTTCCCAGTTCTCGTTCTTAACTCAAAATGTGAACTTGTTTGCTATGGATTTCCTCCCCCCTGTTTCTAGTTCCAAGTTTTCAAGCAACCACGATTCTTGGACAATAGTATTTTTTTTCAGTGTTTTTTTCTATTCCATTGATTAAAATGTATTGGAATAACACCTATCGTGCAAAAGATAACAGAAAATAGATTGAGGTGATTTGGATATATACAAAACAGGCCACTAGAAGCACTAGTGAAGAGAATGGATGAAATGACTTCCAGTTTGGTGAAAAGAAGTAGAGGAAAATCCAGAAAAACTTTATAAAAGATTATTTAAACAGACTTGTTAATAAATAATATCTCAGAATTTGATTTTTAACCAAGCTCAATGGCATCATGATTCATGTAACTGACCTCACATAGTGAGATAAGACTTAATTGTTGTCATTGTTTATTTTGTTTCTGGCCTCCAAGTTGTTGGTTCTTTGCTCTCAAAACTTTCATTCTCTGTTCTGTTTTATTTGAATTCAAGAACCTTCAACTTTAACCTAGACTAGCAAATCTAGGTCATATTGAAGATGAAATTCTTTGAGCAAAGCCTTCATGAAATCCCACACATACCACCAAACAAAAGCACGTCCTCTCTCAGCCTTTCCCACTTTTTGAATCTTTTCTTCCTCAAGTATTGCAGTGACCATAAGATGTTGCTCCACATTAATCAGCCATCAATAGGTTTCTTTTCCTTCAAATTTTAATATCATCTTCAAGAACTCAGTACTCACAGCTCTAAGATCATAGATCTGATACCAGTTGATAGAAACTGGTATAGATATTACGAAGAGTGGGTAAGAACTCTCCAAGACCATAGCATTGAGGGTCTGCACAGCAAGGCCAAAAGGCCCTAATTTTCTCTCACAAATGACAAGAACCCCTCTCTCAACCTCTCTTATTTATTAGCAAACTGCAACAATTCATTTTTGTCTCAACCCAACAAACTAACAATTATCAACTAGCAAACTCTCTAAACACTAACTAATTATACGTCAAACTAACTATGGGGGTTACCTATCATAAGGATGTTAGAGAGAGTGCACCAGAAAGAATCATCTGTCCATAGCAATTTAACAATTGGGTGGAAACACCAAGCAAGGATTATGTTTATAGAAATTCTTTATTACCAACACTGTCATATCACAAGGAGGTCTTTTTTCTACTTTTCCCTTAAACACTCCCCTTTCTTATTTACATAATCCAATCCTCTTTGTTTTGATAACAGAAAATCAAATGGTGGTCTCCTTGGTTTTACTAATATATCAAATGAGAGTAGTGTAGACAGGCATGCTATAGCAACTGCAGTTGATCCTAGACATAAGGTACACATGTAAACTAAGTTAATTGTGAAAGCTAAAATAAGGAAAAGAGAACAGTGACTATGTAATCTCAAACTGATATTGGTTTGATAATATAAAAGACAAAGTATTAACCTCTATTTATACTAATATTAGATTTGTAATTATAATTACATAAGAGGAAAAATTATGACATATGAAAACCATTCTTAAAAGATCATACAAGATACTGTAAAATATTTCAAGCTACAAAAATAATATTATATAACAACATCCAGATTTAATACGAATCATTCTCTATTCAATGTTCTGAATAATAATGAAAAGAAAGGTACAAACATTTAGACTACAAAGAACAAACATTACCTCAGCCACAAGGACATCTCTTGTAACAGGTGAGCGTAACTCCAAGGGGTCATCTTTTGATGCACGTAACTTTGCTTTCTGAACATCAATTAACCTCCTCAAGACCTATTAGATTATCACATCCAGCCCCATATTAAGATAATCTATATCAAGTTGTGAATTTTACATGAAATACTATCAAATTATCAACTATATATTTCAATCTCAGAACTTTAACAGCTAGAATATTTTGGAGTATCATCACAACACATACTTTAAATTGAAGTTTTAATCAGTAATACATAAAAAAAAATGTCAGAACAGTTCATCTGTCTTTTAGCAATGCCAAATTTCCAAAGGAGTGATAATAAATATAAAGCAATGATCTAACTAGAAAAAGAAAATAATTTCCCCCAAAAGGATTGCAGAAATAGTATAAAACAGCAATAAAAAGCTTTGAAGAGTAAACTACAAACCAGCTTAGCTTTATCAAGACGTATTGCTGCTTTTTCATACTCTTTCATCATATCTTCCTTTGACTCTTTAACCAAAGTGACATCTTCTTGTTTTTTCTCTTCAATTGGCTGATAGATCTGAACGATTTAAAACAAAACACTGGCAAATGGTGAATAAAGAGAAGGTTATGGAGACTGGCTATGGGAGTATTCAAATGTTTATGTGCCAAGTACACAAGCATAGAAAGTTGAAGTGTGCAAAGCACTAATAGTCAAATAAATACAGAAAGAAATGGAAAGGAAGCAGTTGTTCAAAGGATCAGAAATCTAATGGCATTATCATCTCAGGAATTTAAAAGGTTATTCCAGAAGATAGTAAAATGCAGAGAATTGCAAGTAGTGATAAATTTACATAAGGATGAATGGCATTGACCAAGCAATAGCAACAATAAATTGGCAAAACAGAAATTAATGGAGGGAAAAAAAAACCTTGCGCTGCTCTTTGAGGAGATAAGCAAACTTATCAATGTTAGGGACAGCAAGGAGCTTGGGCATTAGGTGGTTGCGAAAATATCCAGGGGCAACTTTGACAGTGTCACCTGCCTTTCCCAGCTTATCTATGTCCTAAAAATTGGAAATTAGAAATAGCATAAAACAGAAATAAATGCAATCCCAGAAACTGAACATCAAAACTCAAGATTGATATTTACAGTCGTAAGGATGACTTGCAGCTTCCTGTTGTATCGAAGTCCTTGGGAAGCATACAAGACTGGGTTTACCACAACATTATCATAACTGGCATCTCTAAATCTAATGATTTGTCTAACACCATGTCTGCCAAATTGAAGATAGCCCATTCAGATTTGGATTTGGATTCACAGTCACCTCTTTTCGCACTGTCAAAACCCAAGACAAATTACTATCAATATCAAACTAACAAATTTCAATTCTTAAAAAATAAGCACTTCATTTGGTCTTCTTAAAATTAAGAATAGCAATGGCCTCAGGGTAAACTGTTGCAGACCAATCAAACAAAAAAATCTTGAATCCTTGTCAGTGTTGATTTCTGGTTCAGTTCTTAAAACAGGGATGGTAACCTTACACATTAAGAACGTGGATGTAAGCAGGCAAGTGTCAAAACCCCGCAATTAAAATCTTCATCAATATAATAGTAAGTTTAAAAAAATTATAATGTTTTCGTTAAATTGCTTTAGATGCAATACCTACAGCATCACAAATTCAACCGTCAACATGTATCACACAACAGTTTATTTCTGGAAAGTTCAAGCATTTCATCAAACAGGTGGCAGGCAAATATGCACGTTCATAAAACCCTCAAAGTCCACACAACCCGCCTAACACAAAGCATCACCAACATTAAATATGATTACCCACTCAACTCAAACATATATTGGAAACAAAAATACAAAAAACAAAAAAATTCTGAAAAGAGAGAACAACTGTTAAGAACGAGTCTAATTCCTCCTTGCCCCGTGAAATGTGAGTTTAATTATACAAGAGGTGGGTGGTGATAATAGCATTCACGGGGTCATGGCATCTACAAAACAATTAATATTACGACATTGATTCACTGTTGGGTCTCGATAGCAAATAACCAAGATGAACAATAATCCAACTAAATGTCAAATTTTCGATAGCTTCAGATCAAGGGCTTACCGTAATCAAAGAACAGGACTAGGGTATGGAGGGTTCAAAACCTGAAACTTGCTTCAGCAGGCTGCAAAAGCAATCAAAACGCAGAGTTTTGGAGCTGAGAATGAAAGGGTTCAAGTTGGGCCTGGGTGTATCTATGGTTTCGAAAAATTTGATTGAATGGATGTTCAAAATGTTTGTTGTCCAAAAAAAAAAATGGCATCGATGTTATAATACAGTATGTAAATAGTTTGAATTTGAAAGTATTTTTACTTTGAAATGGACATAATAATGAGAATAATATCATTGGTTTCATGTGTTTTGGAAGAGAATTGAATTTATTACAAATTTTACAATTTACTAGATTCTAAAAGTGGAATCATGTGAGCAGTATAAAGAAATTAAGTTAAGTATTACTGTGTAAAAATTATTTATATGCATATTTTTGTTAAAAATTAGACACTTAAAGAAAGAAAACCTGTGATTTCATGATTTTTGGATTTGTATTGAATTAGTTATGATTTTTACAAATTAATGCATGAAATCTGGAAAAATCTGAAAATAGCCATGTCCATAAAATGAATGATTATCTTGTTTTAAGGGATGAATGATTATTATAGGTTTGTATCCAATGGGCAGATTAATGGCTAGAATTTATTTTGTGATTATGAAACAATTCATAGGGACAATGGTTGAAAATGCCAGGTACAGGCGAGGGGCAAAGAGTGTTAGTTTTACCATAGGGGATAGTAAGGTACTCAAGTCCTAGCAAAAGACCAAACCTAGCTAATTTGTGTTGCAGGCAGTGGAAAATATGCTAAACTATCCTAACAGGCACTAAAGCATACCAAGATTGGTTAGAGTGTGAGCCGCTATGAGTGACCATAATAGAATTTGAGCACAGATTGCTCGATTCCCTATTTGGGATGTTGTACCTATGGCACTATCTGGATTGTGGGCACAAAATTCCTAATCTTCAACCCAGAAAATTAAACGGACAATTAATTACTCCATAGAGGAAAAAAATAATACATATAAAATACCATGAGATGCTTATTTATAAGTTATGTAGTGGTTATTGTTACTTTCTTAACAATTGCACTAAAAGTGAAATTGACTAGCAAGTGTACTAGTAGTATTGTAGCAAGTTATAAAATCTTGGAATCATGTTTGAGTCCTAAATATTGTTCTCAGGAAATAGTTTTCTCAAGTATCACTTCACAATTCAACAATTAGTTGAGCCTAACGCAATTCAATTGGAATTTGTAATGTTTGAAAGCAAATAAAACTAGCACAGAGATTAGAAAACGTAATAGAACAAGAGCCACGAATTTGTGTATTAAAACAGATGTATGAAACATAGTTAGGGGTTTATTTCACCAAAACTTCAGTGTTAATTCAATTAAGTTCTGAACTTTCAAGCATTTGGATTGAATGACAATCAGTTTCATGATGTGTTAATCAAAGGTTAATTCCTTAACTCAATGATCCTAACATTCTGTTCAATCATCCTAATTCCTTAGATCTAGTTCAATTATATGTTGCATTAAGCATTAGAAACCAAAAGATTGCAAGATTAAGATGACTTATCCCTAAGAAATCAATAATCTTGGTAATTAACTCAGATCTGAGAAACAATTTCAACTTCCGTTGATAAAAGCTTATCTGTGATTAGTAAATCAAATTTCCATTCAACAACTACTTGATTAACAGAATCAACTACTCAATCCAATCAAACACTCAAAGTTTAGATCCAAAATCAATTCAACACTTCCATTTCGGATCCATAAATCCCTAACTACAAAGAGTTTAGACAGACATTACAAAATGAAAAGAGAGAGAAGAAGGAGATTAGCAAAGAATCATCTTCAATCCAATCTTCAATCTGATTTCTCAAGATGTGAAGCTTGGTGTTCGTCCCCAATCTCTCTCTCAGACTCTCTCAAGACAAGAAAATGAAATGAAAATGAAAAATGAACAAAAGATGCAAAAGATCTGGGCTAACTCATTTTTATAGAATTTTTTGCCTTTCTGGCGTGATTACTATTTTTCACTAAAATAACCACGCAGAGGCCTTTCTGGTAATCTTCATGACTGGAACAATCACTATTTTTCATAAAAGTAGCAACGCAGAGCTTGTTTTGCCTTTTAGTCATGTGCGTGTTCACTTTTGTTCACAATAGGAGCCACGCGCAGCTTGTTATGTTGAAGCGCTCTCTGGAACACTCACTATTTTTCATAAAAGTGTTAACACGCAGCTAGTTTTTCTGAGAAGCTCTCTGGAGCACTCATTATTCTATGCAAAAGTGTTAACGCGCAGCCTATTGCTTCAAATTAAACATGCGCTGATCACTTTTGTACAAAATAGTGATCACGCATAAGTTGTTCTTCTCACCAAACTCTGAAACGATCACTATTTCCAGAAATAGTAATAAAGCAGGATCACTTTATAATGGGCGTGGTTACTTTTATTTACAAAAGTGATAACGCACAAATCAATTCTTGAAATTAGGCTCTGGAATGATCTTTCTTCTTTAAAATAGTGATTACGCCCAACACTGGCTTCATCAATTCTTGTTCCTTGTCTCCAAAATTGTTACTTTTCTTCTATCTTTCTCTTGATCTTTTAGCCTTTTGAACTTAGCTCAGCATTTCCTACAAAAAATGATCTAATCATTAATTTTTACACAGAAAATTCACAAAATCTAAACAACTAGCTATTTAGAAAAGACTTGAACATTCTATTATTTTTATTAGTTTTCAGCTTTCTTCATTATGTTTTCTATATCAAATGTATTAAAAACTAAGGTAAAATACTAGTAAAATATGGATTTATCAGTTATATTTATTCAACAATTAGTATTGCCTTATGAAATAATATGAATGATCTACTCACCTTTTCTTTGTTTGTGTCTATTAACTATGTTATGGATGTAGAATGAGTGCTAGGAGTATCCTTATTCTTGAGCAGAACATGACTTTTAGTATGTGATCAGGAACGTTGAGTCATAATAATGCTAATCAAACTATTATCTTTACAGGTTGTGTGATACTAACTATTACTATCATTAACAACTCCTATATTGCTCCCATAATTATGTAGAGTCTTGTTAAAGTTGAGATTCCCTACCCCATGTATTGTGCAACAGCTTACCTGAGCCTTCATGTTGATCCTCCTCTAGATGGATTAGATGACTAGAAGAGAGTGATCTGCTCGAAAAGAAACAAAAATAGTAAAAAATGAGGTATATATAAATTATGAGTGCTTAGGATCTTTTTGTTTGACTTTCATTTTCCTTTAGTTTGTAAAAGGTAAAAGGTGTGTATTATATTATCTACTGTTAAACAACAACTATATATATATATATATATATATATATATATATATATGTAGATGTGCATTATGTGTGGGATATATGCCTTTATTTATGTTTATTGAATAGGTTATATTTATTAGAGTCTTTAAGTTGAACATAGTAACATAATAATTGGGATAAAACTGTTAATAATAACAGAAACGTGGCACTTCCCCTCTCTTCTCTTCCCTTGCTAAGCCATTTAAATCATTTCTTTTTTTCTCCCTTTAAACTCTTAAAAACAAAGCCTTAAGCATTTCTTTGAAATCCTTAAAAATTGAGGGATTTTATCGCCCCTGCATGATATGGCAACGTAGATGAGTTAGAAATGTTAAACCGGGACAATTCATCCTAACATGTCAAAAGCTCGTTAGTTAAAAGCTGGAGTAGCATGACTATCCCTTTTAAAAAATGAATTAAATTTTCTAATTCAATTTATTTAACGATAGGTTAGCGAGCTAATAGGTCAATCTGTCAAAGATAAAAAAAATGTTAGTAGATCAATGAGTTAATGGGTCAATTCACTTAAATTTAACAAAAAATTAATAAAATTTTAAAAAATATTTAAAAACATTTTTATATTAATAAAAATTAATATTTAATTAATAAATAATTATTTTTGTTTAGATCCAACGGACTATCTCACCTCCGTTTTGACAGAGTAAATTAAGGCAGGCTTGGCGAGGCAATAAATTCAATGCATTCAACCCCGCCTGCCATTTTAGTGAGCTAGATGACCGACCATTGGGGGAACCCAATTTAACACTGATAACATGGGTGAGTATGTTTCTAAAGTCAAGTCAACTTTTAAATATTTTAGTCAATGGACCTTTGCACTTTGGTATTGTTTACAATATAATCCTTAGATACCATTTCTCCTTCTCTCCAGACCAAGCCTCAATCTGTCGAGTTCCATTGACAATGCATTATAAATTCTCGTTCAAGATAAGCAACTGTCGACTCTACTCCCTAATAATAATCTATTTCTTCATATTCCTTTCTTTAAACTCCTTCGAAACCCACTTTTCTTTTTCTTCTTCGCTTTCTTTTCTGAAACAACCCACACGAATCTATGACCAAATGCTTCTACTCCACAGTTCATCAACATTCATGTTTGTCACACAAACTCAGTAACTTCATCTTTGTCTTTTAATTCTGAACCAGCCCAAATCACAACTATCCCCACGAGTCATCTCTGCCGCAGAAACCAGAAGCCATCACAACTATTGCATCCTCCAAAATTTCCACCTTCATTCGATCCAACCACTATACCATGAATTTGTCGCCATCAACCATTAAATTGTGTCCCCCACCACACAATGACGTCCTTGTTAGTAGACTAGAAGCCACCAAACTACAAGGCGAACCCCTACCTCCCAATTGTCGCATTGGTCACCACGAACCTAAACCATGTGCATATTCAAATCGAGTTGAAGAAAACAGAGATGCAGTGAGACTTAGCAACGCAGAGGAAGAAGTTCTAGAGTGAACAAGGATAATGCCACAAGGTAAAGCCATGGCTTTGGTCATGGCATACTCAAATAGGCTTTGGTCGACGTGACAATGGTAAACTTGCCTCTAGGACAAAGTTCTGGTTGTGGGTAAAAAACCTTTTATTTTAATTAAGCAACTTAATTGTAATTTTCAAATAATTAAAAAAAATTTACAATATCATTGGTCGATAAGAGGGTGTGTCTCTAAACCCCTAAAGGTACCAAAGAAATCTGCTAATATATTAGGTTTGTATTTGAGTTTTGCTTGCGGTGGAGTTTGTGTTTAGAAAGGTACTTGATTAACAAAACTTAATTATTTTTTTTTATCATTTTTATGAGTT